TTGTTCTGCTGAATAGTAGATATCCATTAAATGGTGTTGAAACATTCCTTTTTTTCTTATGTTACAGTAAGTAAACGGACCTGCTAAACTTACACAATCTGTTTGGGCATTTATGATGGATACATAGAGACATGTAGGGATTCTAAAATTTTTGAATGCCGTATTTCCCAAGTTACTGCCTGATCATGACATACGTAAGAAGATAATAGAGTGCAGTTGGGATATGGCTGCACAGCACTTATTTTACTAATTAGATGGCTTTTTGTCCTTTTTATCACAGAACCTTTGGCATTACAGGTATATTGTCAAAACCTTGAATGATAAATCCCTGAACATAAAAAGGCAGGACCTATAAGTGATTCTGGAATCTGCCCCTTATTTCCTGAATTAACTATCTCCCACCTCTAAAATTTCTTACTATCCCCCTTATTTTTCTCATTAAATAGAAAAGGGATCACAGGTAAACCTTCTTAAGCTCCCTGGAGATAGGAGGGCTTTCTTTTTAACAGGGCATGGTGAAGACGAGTCACTTTATGGTACGATATAAAGATACCATAAGATATCTTCCCTCTATCTTTAGTGAAGGATCTTTAAAGCTCATTTAGCTCCTAGAGAGCAGCAGAAAACTTTTATTTCAATAGATAGGCTATATGTATACACATATATTTATATTTTGGGCTTTTCTTACAAATTTAAACCAGAACAAATAATCCTAGAACAGAAGAGCAAAGTTACAATCTTTGAGTGAAAATCAACCATCATTTAACTGATAATAAAATAATGGAATGGTATATGTTTATTAAGATCTAGGATAAAAAGAGAAAGAACAAGAACAGAAATAACATTTTTCTTAAGGAAAAAGAGAACCGCTATAGAAAATTTATTGGTGACAAAAAATAAAATCAATAACAACACTAGGTACATAGAATATATGGTTGCTTATCAGACCACTAGTCTCACATTCCATTGGCCCTAATTACAGTTTTTGCTTATATTTTTAAAATACACAAACCCAACATGACCAGCACCAAGTTCATCAGCCCCTCGTGTCTAGAATAGTCCTATTCTTGGCTTCCTACAGCTGCCTTAAGTCCATTTGAACTGCTTTAAAAAAAATACCATAAACTGCTTGGGATATAAACAAACATTTTATTTCTTACAGTTCTTGAGACCATGAAGTCCAAAATAAGATCATAGCATTGGCAGACTCAATGTTGAATGAGGACACATTTCCTCATTGTGTCCTCACATGGCAAAAGAGGCAAAGGATCTTTCTGTGACCTCTTTTACAAGAGCATTAACTCCATTCATGAAGGCTCAACCTGCATGACCTGATCACTTCTCAAAGGGACACAAACATTCAGTCCATAGCACCGTGCTTCCCAATTCCTCAATTTTTTTTTTTCATTTTTACTCCCATTTGGGGCTGGGAGAGTTCTTGATCCCTATTACTCAGCACACGTCAGGTTGTATACTCCTTCTGAAAGGTCATCAGATTCACTGTTTCCATTCCACTCCCCTGACTAAACCACAGAGTAGATCCTTATTACTATTACTTCATTGCTAGTTTGATGTGGTTGTCATCTACCTTGTCTTGATTCTAGTTTCTCACCTGAGCAGTTCAGCTAGTTCTTTCTGTGTTGGTTGTGCCTTGTAGGAGAGTGTACACTGACTATTTTGTTCTTACCACTGAGAGTTTAACACTTAGAAGAATTCTAGGTTCATAACTTGTTTAGAAATAAATTATTAATTAATTTAATTTAACCTCATGGTTTTATGAAGCAAATCCTGCTTTACTGATACGGTTTTATTTTCACATTAATGAACTCATACTTTATATGGACCATATAAAAAGGGAAAATGATTCTAGGAAGATTCTGGGGACAAAACTTGTTAAATATGAAAGTGACTCAGCAGCAGTTTTAAGGTTCATGAAGTTGGGGAATTAGGATCATCCCTTTCTCACACAGAAGTTGGAGTGAGAGTGTTGAAGAACAGTGTCACAAAATAGATGGGTACCCACTGGAAGACAAATGCTGAAAGGGAGAAGGGAGAGTGATTGTGTTCTAAAAATATTGTACCTAACCACAGCACAATAGTTATATTCCTGAAAATCTTCATAATCAGAGTATCCATGATTGAGATATCTAGATTTTATGAAAAAAATAAAACAGCATTGGGCTATTGAGGTCATTAATGGACCCAGAAAAACCTAGAAAAATAATCAATTTTACTTAAAGGCAGCACTAATTAAACAGAATATAAATTAAGTATTTTAAGTTAGCATTAATGGCTATGGAATAACATCAGTTTATTAATTGCTTGAAACTTCAGGATTTTACTTAAGTTCAAAAGAATGTGAATTTATTTTCATGTTTGCAGTATTTTGGTAATTCAATTTATTAACCTTTTTGTAAATAAATTTCACATTAAGTTTTGGGAGACAGAACGGAACAACACTACAAAAGGTAATAAAGGAAGCTGTTGAACTTTCCTTGTTTGTTATGGAAGGGATAGATCCAGAGATCCCTAATATCTTGGAGACCAAATGATTACTACATCTCACTTGCATTTTGTTTCTTGGAGTGGCTTTTGGTTTTGGGTGACTCACTGTTCACTAGGCACTAGTCTAAACAAGTCTTTTCTCAACCCTGCCACACCTTTGAGCTTTCTTTCTCTTTCCATATTACAGCATTATTAAAAGAGAAATGAATTCTCGCTGCTTTTACTTTTTAATTGTTTTCTTCTCTCAGAAAGTGGTTGATCCTGGCCAATGAGTAAGCTTAGGCATTACTGTACCCCTTTTCTTAAAAAAAAAACAAACAACAAACTTCCCTTGTCATTAAACCTGGTTTTATCATTCATCCAGTCTTTAGCGAATATTATCTAGTATTTTTTTCACTACTATGCTAGGAACTAGTTATAGAGTGGTACATAATACAGTCTCTTTTCTTGTAGAGTTTATTTTAGAAGAGGAAATGACAAAACTAAACCTGCAACCCCTTCCCTAGCACTCCCTATGTGCCTTACTTACTTTTTTTCATAGCATTTATTAACATCTAAGACTGTTTCTTTTTTTATACCCCCCACAGAAGGTTGGCTATACCCAGGATTTCTATTATGTTTTGCTAAAGAAATATTATTTGAGAGTGAGAAAGGCACATCTTGATTAGTCATCCTGTCCTCTTGATTCTGCTCCTTTAAGTGCCTTAAGTAATTCCACTGCTGCTTCCTTAGTTCAAGCTCTATTTAATTTTGCCTGATCTATTAAAGTAGTTTCTTAACAGTTTCCCTGCCTCTGTGTACCTCTCCCCTTAAGACCGCTGCTAGTAAGCTTTGTAAAATTCAAAGCTGAATTTTTTCAGTCTATTGAGGGGAAATCAGACCCCTTAGTTATTCATTATTGGGTTGCTTCCTAGGCACCCAGCCTTGCTTTTTTTCTCCACCACTTCCCACTTCCCACTTTTCATCTCAAACTTTGAGCTACAGTAGTAACAGTACTCCAGTTCTTAAGGCTTCGCAAAGTGTGGTGGCTAGACATGACCTACCAGCATAACTTGAAAACTAGTTAGAAATGCAAATTATTGGGTTCTTCCTTAGGTCTACTGAATCAGAAACCCTGGGAGTAGGGTTATACCTTCCAGGTGATCCTGTTGTAACTTAAATTTGAGAACCACTCCTTTAACTATTTTTTTTTAAAAGTTCGTTTCTTGAATAAGCTCAGCCATTAATTACCATGCTTTGAATGTCACTTTCATTTCTGTAACTCTTAATCTACATCATTAACTGTGATTTCTATGTCCATCCTACCTTTTTAAATTGTCTATTGGACATCTTTCCTGGATATCCTTCTGGTGCTTCAGACTCTTTAGGCTCTACAAAATTCATTATCCATCTGCTGAAATGTTTTACATATTATGTTTCCTGTTTCCTCCTTCAAAGGATTCTTCTTGCAGCTTTGAATTGTAGATTATGCAGTATTTTTTCATTGGTTTCTATTTTGTCTTGATCCAGAGGAACCAAAAAAGACTTTTTTTTTTTTTTAAATAACTCTACTTCGCCAAAATAGGGTCAGGATTTTCCAGACAATAAAATTACTACTGTTTATAAATCATCTATTGAAATGTATTCTTATCCTTCCTTTTCCCCCTCTCTCCCTTTCCCCCCTTCAGTCTTCTTTGTGCCTCTCATTCGAAGAACTTAGGCACTCCTGACTTTGAATCTTGACCTTAGTTGCCCAAGTTCTACCATAAAGCTACCATAAAGGGATCCTTAGCCTGGGCCAATAGAGTGATAGGTTGTACTGGCACTAAAGGTTAAAACCAGGCAACATTTCAGATATCTTTGTGCAGTTCCTGCAGTAGTTTCTCAATAAATATCTTTTAAATTAATAAGCGAGTGAGGAGGCATGTCTCAAAGGACTGGCAGATTTCCAAGGTTGAAAAAGGATGGTGAGATTGGGCTAGATACGTAAGAAGTCTCAAGGAATTGAGCAATAAGGACTGAGAAATTTCGACACTCAAATATTTATTAAATTAATAAATGAAAGAGTCTAAGAGAAAAAAACAAATAGTCATTGCCACAGGTGGTTTTCTGAGGGAGGAGGAACAGATACAAATGTTATTTCAGTGTAAACTTTCAAGTTTAATTTTTAAAGTTTATGTTTATTTATGTGTGCTTTCTTATGAGTGTTCAGTTTGATACACATTTTTAATAAATTTCACATTGATTTATGTAAGTTATATTTTAATGTTTTGACCATATATCCTGGGCTGTAACTTTCAACTATTAGATTTCTATTTTTGTTGGATTAGAAAAACAGTAATTGTGTATGTATATTTGTTAAATTGTGTATCCAAATTACCTTATATATGAAGAATTTTTATACTTGAAAAATCATAATATATATTCTCATAATTTGAGGTATTCTCTCATAAAGAATATATATTCTTAAATGATAATAATTTTTTAAAAAACCTTTCTTTTTAACATGCACACAGGAAACCTCGGCCTGTCTCCCAGTTGGTTGCACAGCAGGTTACTCAGCAGTTTGTGCCCCCTACACAGTCAAAGAAAGAGAAAAAAGATAAAGTAGAAAAAGAAAAAAGTGAAAAGGAAACAACTAGCAAAAAGAACAGTCATAAGAAAACCAGGTAAATTTAAAGAGTATTTTATGACACTTTTCATATAAAAAAATTTAACCATTTTATTTCTTAACATTGATATATGCAAGGTAGAAGTAAAAGAGTTTATCTCCTTTGTTATAAAGTATCATGATTTTTTAAGTTTGAAAGGTGTACTAGAAATTAAACACAGAAGCCACAAATATAAGCTTAAATGTGAAGATGTTTTGTGGGGTTTTTTTTCCATTTTTTGTTTTGCTTTGTTTTTTTACTAGATAAAAAGACATTTATGTTTGATCTATTTCTTTATTTTCTTGGCGGGGGCGGGGGGGGGGTCTGTTTCTTTTTCATTTATAAAGCCAGGCCAGGAGTGACATAGTTGCATGGGTTTTAATCTCAAAATGGTTGTGGATCAGGGCAGAAGAGACAGTCTCGATGCCCTCATTCATGCACATCAGTGGAGTAAGAGCCCTGCGTATAACGCAGCCTTAGCTGTTACCAGCTTCCTCTGTGATGCAACTATGTCATTGCCAGTCTTAAAACATTTGTTTTAATAAAGTTGATAATCTGTCTGCAAAATTATGATAAAGCTATAAAAGGACAATTAAGGGACTGTTATTTCCAGGGTGTCACATTTTTTTTTTGTCACACTGAAGAAGATTCATGAGTGATTGTTTTGATTAATGTTAATGCTTTGAAACATATAATGATATTTTTGTGGCTAGTTAGTTATACATGAATATACAGCTTTAAACATAGATGTAGTCAATTTGTAACAGTATTTTTACCTAATTTACTCATTATATGTACAGAAAGTTAGTAGACAGAAAAGCTAGTTTAAAATTTTATCATCTTTTATGTGTTTAGGCCAAGATTGAAAAATGTGGATCGGAGTAGTGCTCAGCATTTGGAAGTTACCGTTGGAGATCTGACAGTGATTATTACAGACTTTAAGGAGAAAACGAAGTCACCACCTGCATCTAGTGCTGCTTCTGGAGATCAACACAGTCAGAGCGGCTCTAGCTCTGATAACACAGAGAGGGGAATGTCCAGGTCATCTTCACCCAGAGGAGAAGCCTCATCATTGAATGGAGAATCTCATTAAAGTTTATTTTCTCCAATTTCTTAGTCCCTTCTCTGTCATACCATGCGAATACACAGATTATGCCAAGAATTACCACATTTTCATGACAAACATACTCATGCACAATCCATAATTTGCGTTTTACATACAATAGAAATTCGTTAGAATTTGTTAGATTTTATTGCAATCTGTGCCTACCAAACATTTCCAGACTTTAACATTTTGGTCTCCACAGTTAAAGGTGCCATGAAAATGTGTTTGAATTATTCATTATGCAGTGTTATTGGTAAGTCTATTTTCACTTTTAGTTTAGTGAATTCTAACACATAAATCTTGAATTCTCTACTATTGGCATGTAACGAATTTAAATTTTTATAACATAGTGCAAGCTGCCTAAATATGTATTATTTGAGAATTGTGAAGCAAATAGTTATATGTATACAAGTCAAAGATCAACTTAATCAACTGTTGCTGCAACAGGATTTCTTAATGGTTATCCTCTTAATACACCTGCTGGTACTTGGTGTGGTTAAATAGGAAAGTTGTTATTAAATAAAGAATTTGTATGAACCATTGCCAATGTTTTTGACACATTTTACTTAATTATTTTTCCTGAATTATATTTCTGGTTTTATCTGTTTTTTTTGTTGTTTTGTTTTTCCCTTATCTTTCAAAACATTCATTTATTGTAATGTTTACTCTTAGATAAGTAAACAATAAAACATTGATTATTTAGCTTTATAATTTAGGTTTAGTGCTATTGTCATTGAACACTGGTATTTTCTATATTACATAAAAAATTAAAGTTCAAATAATTATAAACATTTGGCCAATGCAGAAGAGAAAAGAAACCTGCCATATTTTAAAAGCTGTAATTTTGGAAAAGCTTTAACTTAATAGTTCTATCACTGTTTCCTTGCCCCAAACTTTATCCAGGGTTATAGGAGTATGAATCTAACTAATAAGAAATGAGAACTGTTGCACAGAACTGGGGAAAAAATAGTCTTACATCAATTTAATTGGCCTCTTATTAACTGTAACAATTCTTATGAAAATCACAGTGCCCTATTTTCAGATACAACTGCCAGTTTATGCATTTATCAATACCCCTAAATAAAAAGTATTTACAGCCCTGCTTACTATTATGCAAAGTTATGAATAAAATATTTTTATGACTACAGATTTTGCATTTTTGTTTACAACTAATAAAGTGTTTTATGTTATATTTAAAAATCAAACCTAGAAACCACACATTACTTCTTAAATTCTCCTAGGGTCTCCTGCTTTTTCTTAGCCATTTGCTTAATATATAGCCACCTGTAGGAGACTTCTGCAATATAAATGAACTTAAAAACATAAGTTGGATACAAAATAACACATAAAGACATGATAACATTTTAAGAAAAAAATAAAGCTGTAGACCCTGACAGTTGTGATATTTGGTGGTTTCACGTGGCAATGTAATTTTCTGTTTAATTGCAGTACTTTTTACAGGCACAATGGTACTGTCTTATTTGTAAGATGTAGTTGTGAAAAACAGTTAATTGCATACAGTAAAAGTCTGTGATTAAAGCATTTATATACCTCATTCTTTAGTGTTGTTAAATGAAAAATTAAAATTTGTTTTTATTATAAGATACTTTCAATGGAACCTCAACTAACTGGTTATGTTCTTTTGAAACATGAAGTTTTTTGTCTGAATTTTTTTATGTGTTTCAAATATTTTTATATACTTATTTTTAGACATAGCAAAACTTACAAATAATAGTTATAGAGAAAATATCCTAAATTTTAAGTCAAAACTATGCTTTAGAGGTACTGGGTCTTCTGATGATGCTCAAATATTTTCAGGGTGTATTTTTAATGGACTACAAAAGAGAAAAATCTGACAGAAGGTGGGATTTTACCTGACTGTGGGGCGGGGGCACAGTCATCTTTCTCTGTTAGTGGAGAGACAATGTAGCCTGGGAATTAAGAAATTAAGAGTACTAACTGGTGTCTGGTGTTTGAATCCCTGTTGTAGAACCTAAGTGAGCTTGAGGAAGTAACTGATAATTATATCTAACACATAGTGTTGTTGGGAGGATTAAATGCCAATCATATAAAATTCTTTAAATTACCTGACACATACCGGATGCTCAGTAAATGTGAGCCTTTACTATTTTAGTAAAATCCCATTACAACAATACAAAAATCATTTCTGTGCCCTCTTGGATGACTGAAATGAATTGTTATATGGGTTACACTGAATTTTCTACATCAGATCTTTGCTCTGATCCCAGAGCAGCCATCTTTCCATAATTAGAGAACCCAATGGTATGCACTATGAGACAGGAGAAATGAATCAAGTTAGCTAGTTTAAAATTATGTTTTCCTTTCATTAATCATAATTATCTTGCTTGCCTTCACTTCACCCTACCTCAAAACATTTCCAAATGAGGAAGCAGTCCCAAACCCCATACATACTTAAATGTAATGTTAACATATGCAAAAAGATTGAGAGCCTGGGCTTAGGGTACGTTTTTTAGCTCTGTTTCATCAATTTACCCTGTGATTTTTTAGCAGTGGGTTCTTTTAATCGAATTCCATACAAAAAGAGAATCTGGATGTTTTTCAGAGTTTATTAGCATATTTTGATATAAGTAAGAGTGAAGATATAATTTGAGGCATACAAGAATACATACTCTTAAAGCCTTTTGTATTCACAGTAGAAATAGTGGACAATAAAGGTTTTATTTTTATTAAATGCTTTCCTAAAATTATAGTGATGATAGTAGACAGTGAAAACATTAAAAATGGAAGAAAAACCTTGGCTTTTATAAGTTTATTGCATATTACCTTTCTTTTAGATAAAAAGCCTTATTGCTGAAAAAGAATGTAGTTTCTGCATATTGTATGCATAATGTTAACAGGGGTGTCCAACCTTTTGGCATCTCTGGGACACACTGGAAGAAGAGTTGTCTTGGGTCACATTAAATACACAAACACTTAACAAAACCTGATGAGGAAAAAAAAAAGGTTTTAAGTAAATTTACAGTTTTGTGCTGGGCCGCATTCATACCCATTCTGGGCTACATGTGGGCTACGGGTTGGACACCCCTTAGTCTCTATTTAGGCCCTTTTTAAACTTATTTTCTTGGTGTGCAACTTACCTCTTTTCTGGAGTCTTTTAAAGACCTGATGTAGGAACTGGGAAATTGACAACCATTTGTACTTTGAAAATTAAGAGAAAAAAGAAGTTTGTGTAGGAATGATAACTATAAAATAGTACTTTGATTATTAGTATTGCCCCTTCCCCCTTTAATTACAAGCACCTTCAGTTGTCTGGAACACATGTAGATAATTGAAGTGTAGAAAAGGTATCAGTGACAAAAAATAGCTGAGCAGAATCAAGAGACAATGAGTTACGGAATACAGGATGGGACTGATCGTTTTGTGAAAGTAGAAGTGAAAGAATGCCCTCACTGGCTATTGGTGAAAAATAAGTCCCATTAATATCAAAGGCAAGGAAGAATAGGAATGGGAGAAAAATGAGGGAAGAAGAAGAGGAGAAACAAAGCACAAATAGCAGAAATTAGGAAATGGGGCATTGGGAGGCAGTCGGGACGACAGAGAAAAATCACTAGGAATGGAGAGAGAATAGGACTTGGAGCATGTTTGTCTCAATATTTAAAAAACAGTATGATAAATCATCTGTATAATGATTCTGTCATTGAAGTTTCATTTGGTTAGTAGACTACTAGGGCAGCAGTATGTGTGATAACTTTAGAATCATTTTCTTCAAAACCAGTTCATTTTAAAAAGCTGCCATAGAGAAGTTTTACCTAGGATTACATTAACACTTTATTTTCCTGAATATACATCCCCATTAGCCCAGGTAATTTAAACGCTATGTTTTTAATGTAGCGTTCTATTTAGCCAGTGAAGATATTCCTGCCTTTATGGAATAAGCCAATTCTGGAGCACATGAAATGCTGTGATAAGACCAGGTACTTCTGTGGAAAAATCAAGTGTAGCTCTGAAGGGTTTCAGTGCTGTGAGACGTATTTCGTGTTCTGGATTCTTTCCTGGTGGTGGTCCCCACACCTTCCCATTCCAACCTCCCAGACCTCCCCCTCCCCCTCCCCCTCCCTCACCCAGCCCACCCCAATCCCTCCCCTCACCATCAGTAGGAGTTGTAGTAGGTGTTTTATCATTGTAATACTTTCAGTATTTTTCTGATCCAGGTTTTCTTAACATTAGTATTACTGAACTCTGAACATTTATTGAGTATATTTTGTGTACTAGGTATTGGGATAGGGATTGGTTACAAAGAGGACAAAGATGTGGAACTCATAGAGGAGAGATCTGTAAGTTATTACAGGACCATCAATGCATTAATCACTATCTGTACGATACAGAAGTAGCAGTGAGGAGGGTGTGCTTGTTATGCTTTCGTTTCTAGAAAATGCAGAGTATCCACTGCAAGTCCACACTGAAAATGTTAGGATGTCATCTTGATAGTTGCAGATGCTAATGATGGGTGTCATAAGTAGTTTTAGCCAGCTCCATTTCATTTTCCAGCTTGGGTTTTGCAAAGTTTAAGACTTTAAGCCATGTAATGTGAGATGATCATTTTATTAAACTAATTTTTAAAAATCAGTAAACAGCTGAATGAAGTCTGTGGTTGCCTTTTTGTGAAGATTATTGAAGGAACATTTCATCACTCAGAACCCAAATGAGGGATTTTATTTAGACCTGTTTCAGGAAAATTTTACTTCTCCTGAGACATTGGTTTGCCTTTTTCTTATGGACAATACAAATCATTAATTGATTGTCCTCAGTTTTTGCTTTAGTCATGAGAAATCTCAGATTAAAATTAAACTTACTTTTAATAATTATGTAGGACTCAATAGCTTGCATGTCTATATTCTAACTTGTTATTTTTCCTAGATTCATGTTTTTATCTACTTACATTTTCCCGTGTACTTATAAAGTTCCCCCAATCTCTTTTGTAAATAAGACTAAATATTTTTTTAAAAAGCTCAAAAAACTGCTTTATTTCAGGGTGTGAGGGTAAGCCCCAACAGGAATTTTCTGGGGCAAGGAGTCAGTAAAGTAGTGCCTCACCAGCTGGAATTCCTGATCAGTGGCAATAATATACAAGTTTGGCAGGTCTTGAGATTACACCTTGGTTTAGATCTGCTGACCTACTTGGAAGCAGGGAGTTGGGATGAAAGCTACCATACCATGTTTAAACTTCCATGAACTCTTTTAGCAAGAGAATTTAGAAACTAAACTGGGGACCAAGATTTATTTGACTTTTTAATGTGTATTATTTTCACTGTCCTCTTTTAACTCATAATGACAGCAATGAAAGGAGCCTGCGTTTACTTTGGAGTCAGCAAGATTGAGAAGAGCTGGAATACAGTTTGAGAGAAGACAACTCCTAAAGGACAACACAGCAGTGAAAGCATTTTTTTAAAAAAGGAAAGTAGTCTTGAGTTCAAGAGCAGAGTGGCATGGCCTTAGGCCTAAGAGGTAGTTTTTGATCTTTAATAATAAGAGTAAATAATAATTTAAAAAAATAGCACCCTGTGTTTCCAGTACAGGGTAAGATACGTAATTTAAGGGACACTTAATTAGAGCAAAAAAGGATTTTTTTTACTTTATTAAAAATAAAATACAAAAATGTAAAAAACCAAATGTAGGACTCTCTAGTGCTGTAATTTCTGTATAGAAAGGAATATGGATTGTTTTTGGCTAAGCACTGGACTTCTGAAGTGTGATGGTATCAGAATTCTTAAATTATTTTCAGACTTCAATTTTTGGGAACCTGGGTTAGGAGAATTTGTGCGTATATATTTTAATTCTGATTTTCCTCATGACTAAACTTCCCCGCAAACCTAGCTTTTAATTTACTGCCAGCATTTATTTTAAAATCATAGATTATAACCTACTGTAATAATAGGAATGAAGATTGAAACAGGGAGAAATACAGGGATGGTCCACAGGATAGATGTTATTCTCTTCCCCACTCCAACCCTCCCTCATGGAGGTAAACACCAGCTAAGTTCTGGAATCATATAGGAGCTAAGTGGCCCCATTGGTTTTCTACTACCACTTTTTCTAATCTTGTGGCTTATAGCTGAGGTTTCTTTTTAGTTTTTTTTACTCTCATCGTACTCTGACCCTACTCTTTCCCCACATTTACGGGTCTGAATGAACACTTAAAATGAAACACTTTTTGTTTAAAGTGACTACATTACTTTCCAACTTTTTCCTCCAGTCCAACAACATCTCTAGGAAATGAACTGTGGAAAATGGAGAAATTTCACTAGAGGCCTACGGGAGGAGAGAATAATTTTTACTTGGAGTTTCTGATTCTTTTGCTCTGTAACTAATCTGACCTGTATTTCTCTGATTGTAAACTTTGTTTTTAACCTCCAAGAGGTTTTCATATAACATTGATTTTTTTTCTTAATTTGCATCACTCAGTTTAGCTTTTATTTGTTCATAGTGAGATAGTATGGTATAATTGAAAAAGCAAACATGGATTTTGTATCCTCAAAGATTTTTATTCAAATTATGGATCTTCATTATTAATGTGGTTAACAAACTTCTCTGAATTTCAGGTTCTTTATTGTTTAAAAGAATAAAGTATTCTCCTATTTCCTGTAAGTTATTAAATTAGATTATGCATAAACTTTTACAAAGTGGAAGTTACATAAAAAAAGTTTTTGAAGTTTAGTCTGAAAAGGTATAGAATTTACTTTTTTCCCAATAGAATGTCTTCTTTTAACAAGTAATCAAAAGTAGACAGAGGTGGGAAGGAAATACTGAGTAGGACCCAAAGTTTGTTCTAGAGGGACTTAGAGAAGACATAAAAAATAATCTAAAAACACTCATTAATTGAATGTCTACTATATAGTCAGTATTACTAGGAGGTGTAAGAAAAATCAAGATTAATTTTTTAAATGTAAGATTATTGAGATTTGGATTATCCTGGATCTGAGAGCTTTCCAGATCCTGGAAAAGATTTCTATTTCCATATTTTAAAAAAGTTATTGCTATTTTTAAATTTCTTTTTGCCTAAATTTACTTTTATAACAGGATGAAAGAAAGATCAAAATTGATTAAAACTTTGGATATAGCCAGTCTGTCAGAGAATTAGGAGGATGGTCTAGATATTAAAAAAAAATTGATTTAGGAATACATACACATAGTAAATGAAAAAACCTATTATAATATTAAAACACTTAAAATAATTGAATTTTAAGAATATGAAAATGTAATGTGAATCCTAAAAATGATCAGAAGGTCATGCACACAAGCTCCTTACCTTCTAAGATAACCACTAACACAATGTGGGCAATATAAATATCACTTCTATTTTTGGAATACCTTATATACTTTTTCAACAATTTCCTTTTTAATCAAAGGATTAAAAGGAACCTAAAGGGATGATATGGTCCAGGACCTGGATGTCAAGCAAATGGATGATTATTTTTCTGGATTTGCTCTTCCCATAATTTTCTGCAGAAATGAAAACTGCCATTCCAGTATTTCTTTTTAACAATTTGTGGGTCATTAAGTTCTTTATTTTCACTACATTTAGTTTCTTTGTTGAAATAGAGAACAATTGTAGTTAGCTCTTTATATTAAACATCCTTTGAGTACTGACTCAATCTAGTTTCTTTATACAATCTCTTAGTTTTCTACCTCAAAATCTATTTTCCATTCTTATAAATGCTTTTATTATTCATCTTTGTATCTCCTTAAGTTTATCTTTATTCTCTAAGAATTGTAAGGTGTAGTGGAAGGATAACTTGATATTGTCATTTTTATCTGCCTGTCTCCCCTTTGACGGCAGTATACTCTAGCCCCTTGTCTGGCATGTAGAATATACTCAATAAATGTTTATTGAATGAATAAGTGTATGTTTTCTTTCTATTCACACGTCTTGATAGAATGCTAGTTTTTCATTTTTTTGTCAGGTAAGGCAAGACATTTTATAGACAGGGGAAGAAACAGGCCTAAATTTGTTTAGTGACTTCTCCATGGTCACAGACCCAGCACTTTCTCGGTGTAGGGATTTCAAATGGAGAATTCTTCAATTACATGGCACTCTCCCACCTTGTTTCTCACGGCCAGACTCTTAAAAGCTCCAAATGCAATTTGAATATTCAAACAGCATGATTTTCCTCCCTCAAATGTGTGTGTGTGCGCGCGTAAAGCTTCCTTTCCCTCACTATTTAGCACTGTGTATGCTTTCTGGCCCCAGTCTCAATCTCTGTCCCAGCCTCCACACTGCAGCCAGAATCTGCTCCCTAAAAGGCAGATGTGATCATGTTACTTCCTAATTTAAAAAAACCCTTCAGTGGTTCACCATTGTTTGCCAGATTAAGTTCAAACTCCTTGGCATACCAAACAAGGCATTCAAGTATCTGGCCCCTTCAACTTCTGCAGTCTTATCGCTGATCATATCCTCTCTTGCATTCACTTAGTTGCTGGTATCAAACTTCTCACAGTTCACCAGAACACAGGAGCGTATTTCATCGATCCCCCAGCCTGGAATTAACTTCCCTTGATCCCCGCCCCGCACCCATCCCCTCCCCGCCCCCTCTAACCCTCCCCAAGACTCTAGGGCCTCTGTGCTATAAAGTTTCTCTTGACCACACCCAGGTAGAACTGATTGTTCCTTTGTGTGTGTACCCACACCTTTACAGGCTTACATCCTAATGTCTGTATTGCACTTAACAAATGCCCACTGTCCCACCCCACAATCCAACAAGACGTCTTTATACCCCAAGTACTCACACAGTACTTGGCACATAGTGTTGCTCTATAAATGTTCCATAAGTGAATTCACTGTTAATGTGGCTGAGGAAGAACGCATAGCTGATGAGGAAGCTCTGTACGAAGAATACGAAATTGTTTTGGAGATGGAAATTAGTTGCGAGGGAGGTAAAAACGATGAAAAAGGGAGGACCTCAGCTTTACAGGCACTCACAGCCTCCTTCGGGAGGAAAAACAAGCATTCCCAACAGCATCACAAGGTAATTAAGTATCTGGGTGAAATGGCTCAGACAGACAGTATTATATAAACTCTGAGGCTGAGGACGTCCCTGCCGAGGACGATGGAGCTGAAAAATGGCTTAACCATGTGCTTTCTAACTGAAAGGCGTTTTATGTGCGTTAAGCAATGTAATCTTTAAAACCACACTATGATGAGGATATTGTCTCCATTCAGAGACGAAGAAACATGCTCAGAGAATTCAGGTTGTTCAGCAAACTACCAAGTAGAAGAACCGTCATTTGAATTAGGGTCAGCTGCCTCCAACGCTCTGTCTTCTTTGCCCCACGTCTCACGCGCAGCTGTGAGTTCGCAGCTTCTACCCGCACTCAAGGAACGCACCCCGGAGCACCCAGCCCACTCGAGCTCAGTGCGCCGGCGCGTCGGGCCGTGGCCCGCCCTGGGGGGAGGGGCCAGAGGCGGCGGAGGCGGTGGAGGCCGCGGTTGCGAAGTTGGTGGGCGGGCGGGCACGAGACCGCGGCGGAGGAGGGACTTGTTGCGCCCGCGGCTGCGCGGTGTGATTCCCTCCCCTCCAGTTTGCCTGGGCGGGCGCGGCAGAGGCGGCGGCGGCGGCGGAGGAGGAGGTGGAGGTGAAGGTGGCGACCGGCGCGATGCGGCGTTACCTGCGCATCGTGGTGCTGTGCCTGGCCTGTGGCTTCTGCTCGCTCCTCTACGCCTTCAGCCAGCTCGCCGTGTCCCTGGAGGAAGGAGCGGGCGGCAGTGGCGGGAAGCCGCAGGCCGGAGTGGCTTCCTGGATCGCAGGCGGCGGACGCGGCGCCGCGAAAGGGGCGGACGGCGCGGACACTTCAGCGCATCCCAGCCGGTGGGACAGGTACGGGCCGCGGTCTGTGTGGCGGGAGCCGGGGCCGGGCTTGGGGGCGCAGCGTGCGCGGGGACACGGGGTTTGGCCTGATCCGGGCTGCTCGCCGGTCTGTCCCGCGCCTCCCGCTTCTTTGCCGCGGTCTCTGACCCCTTCGCGGTTTTCCCTCCTTCCTTCAATCCCGGGGGGTGATCCCGGCGCTGCTCCAGCCTGAGAGTACCCCACGCACTTGTGTTTCCCTTCTGACCCATTCCTTATACGCCTTTTAAAGTAGAAGAAATTAATGTTCAACTTTTAATTGGCAGTTGAGTTTTAAAAAAGGATTCTCTCAAAATAAGAGGTGCCCCACAAAAGCCTTCTTGCTGTCTGACTAGTGAGAATTCCCTCTTGTTTCCATGGCGTTCAAGTTGAGCTATTTAAACATCAGACTGGCGCCCTAGATCATCCCCCCCCCCCCCGTTCTGAATGGGGCGTCTAATTTTTGTGTGTTAACTCTTAAATTTGTCATTATTAGTTGGTTAGTTAATATGGACAGAGCATTTATGCAGACTGTGAATTTTTCTTTAGGAAACAGACTGTTCTGAAACTTACCAAGTTAAGAAAGATGAGCGACACTTAACATGCTCACGTCTTTTGTGAAATGGGATAGATGGATTTACACACATCACTGCCAGAGTTGGAATTAACGTGGGATTTAAACGGAGAAAGGAATGCAACGCATTATGAATGCTTAACAAAATCTCAGCGTTTCCACTTCCTTGAAAATAGAGTCTCCTCTTTGTGGGCACCTCTCTGGGAATGATCGGGGTGCTCCCTTATTAAGTGGCGAAGGCTGCTTTGATATCGAAAGTATGGGATTGGTAGGAAAGGGGAGCATAGTCATCTGTGGGCAGTGTAATGTTTTAAGAGCTGATGATCATTCCCAAAATGAAAGGGGGACATTTGGAAAAGGAACGTGGAAATTGTCATGCTTTTACCCTATGGTTCGATTACAGTCAGGCGAATTTTTAGGACATCAGGACTATTCATAAAAGCAGAACTACCTCCAGAGCCAGATTTGTCAACTCAGTCATTTGTCCCGGGAGAGGCAATGACTTAAGAAGAGAATGAGGTCCTGAAAAATTCTCATGAAAAGCAGCGGTTTTTGATCTGTTATGATATCGTGAAGCATTGAAAATTGTGGAAAATAAATTATATTTTTATTGGTTAGAATTATAAAAAACATTTGAAACAAAACATTGAATTGAATTGTGCTGTCTTATTAGCATTTCAGTTTGATAGAGTAACATTGATTTTGGCTGTGTCTCACATATACTTTATTTTGTGACTGGTTTTTATAAACTATTTGCTTGATCAGCTAATTTTAACAAAATGTCTTTATTTGACATTTAGAAAATAAACATCTCCTTAATAAATATTATAGAACCATCATTGAAATCTTAAGTTTGATGTGTCAGAGTCCATTAAAAAGCAGTTACATAATAGGTCCTTTGAGCAGCATAACTCCTCATTTTAAATGGGGCATACATCTAAGTTAAAACTAAAGGTGTAACTAAAAAAAAAAACCCAACCCTAAAGTCTTTGTAAAAAATGTAGTATAATACTTGGGCATATGTAAGGAGAAGCTCGGGCAGAAGCACAACAAGGGAAAGCTGTATTGTCATGTTTTCACCCTAGGATTTGATTAAGGTTAGGATAATTCCTAAGACATTGGGACTCTTTTCATTTCAGATATTATCATTTATAACATCTTTATAGCTTTCTCATAGAGTTCAGGCAACTTCTTCGATTCCTGTGGGACATGGGGTAGGTATTCTTAGCCTCTCTTTAAACTGTGTTTAAATTGTTTAACCACAGTTCATAGGGCATCTGTCATGGAACTAGGAGAAAAACTATGAATCTTTTTTCTCCAAGTGCTCTTTCTATAAAGCTGTGTGATAAGAATCTAGTCTGTAGTGTTTCACCATTGGAGAATGGGGCTATGAGGCAAACCACATCTCCCTGTTTTCAGGAGGACTTGATTATCATTGCATTCTTTTTATTTGAAGCCTTTGTACTTGAAAGGTTAAGACTGCTATTTCTCACTTTTATTTAACACATGGGATCTAGGGTTATATATACCCTGCATGTTCCATTGGGCAACTCTTACAGAAAATATTGGTTGCATGGAATTCCATGACAACAAAATGCTTGGGAAGGGTCCTTCCAAGATCTCAGAGTAAAAACTAAAATGATAGGAGCAAATTTATACTGAAGTCTATTATTAATTAGAGCATTCTGTTTGAATCCATTATTTGGTATTTAGGAAATGCACAGGTCTTAGAGTCAGACAAACCTATATTCTCATTCTGGCTCTGTTTGCTGTGAAACCTTGATTACCTCTCTACTTTAGTTTTCTCACCTGTAATATGTGGATTATACTTACCTTATTTAATTTGTCATAGAATTCTTAGTTACCAGTGATCAAAATGCAAGAAAACTCACCTAAGCATAACAACTATTTATAGGTTTATATGGGTTATAGGCTAGAAGGAACGAAATTGAAGGGCAAATGCTCAGGCATCTCCGTGGACCTCAAGGGCTGGGGACTCTCATTCTCTTCCACTGTAGGCAGGCCGGTTCATGGAATCTTTCAGCTTCTTGCAATGTTTTCTTCTCTAATCTCAAATAGAAAATTCTAGGGAAAGATACTCATTGCTCTTGCTTTCATCACATGTCCATCATGGACGAGTCAGTGTAGCCGGGTATGGGGACCTCTGATTGTCTGGCTCTGTGTCACTTGTACATCCCTTTGGTGGAGAGAGTAGCAGGGTTGGTGTTGGAGAGCAGCGGTGCTTCAAAGGAGGGAATGCTGGGTGTGGGGTCATTCTCCCTCATAGACTCCTAAGCTCTTCAGTATGGACACACTGACTATTGAGGTATTCATCCTAAAGCAGTTATCATTACCAGGCCTCAGTACTTTTGCAAAAGAGTCATATAACATTTTGTGACACGTTAGCTCCTCAGGGTGATTAATTTCTAACATTTCACTAATGAATCTGGACAGTGATTATCAAGATCTCAGCCTGTTATAGCTGTTACAGCATATTGGTCATGGGGAGTCAAGAAATACTAAGCATTTCAATGCTTAGTATTGAAATACCATTTCTGGACTGTTCACGTCCTTTCTGTGATTGACTTTCATGTAGGGAGGTTGTCAGCTCATCCTCCTTTTCAGATCTGGTTAGGCCATTGAGTTATTTTTGCCGGGTCCTGGGAACACTAGTAAGATACACGGAGATTTTAGAGTGGAAAGAGTAAGGGTTTTGGAGACACAGATTTCAGCATTGCCACTTACTGGCTATGTTAAGCTTGAACGCATTTCCTCATCCGTTAGATGTAAACGTGCCTAGAATATTGGGTTGTTTGTGAGAATTGAAATGAAATAACTTATATAGGTTACTAACTATGGTGCCTGGAATGATGAAATTGTGGCTAGTGTGGTGATGAATTTGATCATTTAAATTTTGAAGGTTTCCTGCCACCCCCCTGCCCCGTTTTTGTGCTTGGGCCCAAATCCAGACGTGCTAAACCCAAATGCCTAGCAGTGGGGTCCAGGTTATTGTTCTAAAACCAAAGATTGGGAACCCAGTGTTTTAACTGAGAGTGGCTTGACCACTATTTTCACACTACTGCTTTTAGTGGTGAAAAATTTTTTTCCCTTTTCCTTGCAGTTATTTTTGAAGAGGAGAGGAGTTGGGGCAGTGAACAGTGAAGAAGGTTACTAAAGTCACCTTAATTAATCTCTGCTTTAAAAAAATTTACAGTTGACATTCAGTATTATTTTAGTTTCAGGTGTACAGCGTAGTGGTTAGACATTAATATAATTTACGAAGTGATGATGCCCTGATTAGTCTATTATCCACCTGGCACCATACATAGTTATTACAGTGCTATTGAGTATAATTCTTTGTGTAATGCAGAGACATCTTATATAACACCAATTTTCTGCACTTTGTTGTTTTAGTTTATTGAAGATCGTACTTCACATAAATGTAAAGTGCTTAGCACAAGCGTGGCTAATAATTAATTAAAATAGTGTTCCATGTTTTTGGAGGGGAAAGTGATTAGGCTAATGGAAAAATGTATACTTTTGATATAGAAATCCTATTTTAAAACATTAAGGTTATTATCAGTCATACCTGTTGAAAGTACTCCCCCCATGTTAACTTAAGTTTTTTTCAGTGTGTATACCATGTGTTTAAAATTCTTATGTATTGATAGGCATTTTTTTCCTTTATCATTTTTACTTTTGTCATTCATAAAAGAGCTTTCTAACCAGAAGGTTTTCCCCTCAGTCTTTTTCCATTTAAATCTTTAATCCAGGGTTTTTTTTGTTTTTGTTTTTGTTTTTTTCTGTTAGGGGTATACAGTGGGATGCCAACTCATTTTTGAAATGATTGGATAATATTGTTCAGTGCCATTTGTATGTAAGCAGTCCTTTTCCCACTTCCTAAGTATTCATGAAAATAAGAGATTTATGAAAAAAGAAGCTAGAAATTAATTGAAGTTGTCTTGAACAATTTTTAGTTGAAAATGAATGACCCAGGCACTGATCTTCAAGTATTGGTGATGTGTCTGTCTCACGAGCATGATCCCCTTTACCTGGCTGTATGCACCTTTGCCCCTCCGGCACAGTTACAGCGCAGGCATCCACGCCTTGCCGTTGCCTTGTTGGCTTGTGGCACTTCATTCACACTTCCACATGCTCATGCTGGATATGCCTGGACTTATCCCTGACTCTGTAAGCTGTGCATGGTTTTCACTCTGGCCTCATGGACATTTTGATATGAAAAATACCTTTTTTTCCCCATTTAATGTAGAAGTACAGAAGACCTCTTATTAGATTTTAAGTAATAAACTTTAAGTTTTTAAAGAAAACTTTAAGCTTGAAAACTGATATTGTGGTAGACATTGTGTTAAATGCTCACTTTAATCTAGAGCATGAACTGTCTCAGTTTTTGAAACATTTTTTAAGTACTGAAATTTTGGGGAACTTTATTTTTGGCCAGTTTTTCAAAACTTTTGAAATAAATATAAGTTCACAGGAAGTTGCTGAGATAGCCCGTGTTCATTCTGTTTCCCTCAGTAGTAAAATCTCACATCAACATAATGTAATACCTCTATATCCAGAACATGTATGTATCAATATACTGCAATATTATAACCCCAGAATTTGACATTGTACAACCCATAGATCAGTTTTTACATATCATCAATTTTACATGTGTTCATATATATATGTAGTTTTATACAATTTTATCACAGATGTAAATTCCTGTAACCACCCCACAATCAAGAGACAAAACTTTCTATCACCACAAAGATCAGTTTGCTTATAGACAAGCCATTTAGAGCTAGAATCTTTAAACCATATGAAATTTGAGAATGAGCCACAGTAAAGTTTTATTTCAATTTGATCCCCAATGAAAAAACTGCGTTTATGGACTTGTCTGATTTTGGATGTCACCGTTTACTGAAGACACTTAGCTTAGTTTAGCTTATAATTTTGCCCCTTTAAATGTATTTAATAGAGTTACTACCTCTTTGAATGTTGTGTATCTAATATTCCATTTCTCATAGTTGTTTGCAATAAAAGTAAAATAATTAATAACCAACCAGAACTTGGATAAACTACTTTTACTTTTCCAGTGTTAAGTTTTATTTTTTTTTTCTGGCCTGAAAATGCAAGTGCTGTCTGTTCCTAGATTAGTAACAGTTACTGTATGTAATGAATTTATACTCTGTATTTTAATTTTTTAAATGGATATTTCATAAGAGAACATAAATGTGGGAGATAAGAAATTTTAAATTATGCCACCTTTTACCAGCAACACCTTAATGTCATACGATTTTTTTGTAAAGTACATGTATATTCACTAGTGTTTATGTTTTGTATTATCATTAAAGAAAGACAAAAACTTCCTTCTCTAAACTGTGTTTTATGACATTAAGTTATGGTCCAAAAACTTTTTCCTTGCAGTTTCAGGATCTAGCAATTCCACTTGTAAGTATACATGTCAGAGCATTGCAAATATAATGTTCACAGAAAATTGTGCATGAATAGTCAGGACAGCATTATATATAATAGTCAAAAATTGGAAAACAACCTAAATGTCTATCACTTGATGAATGGATAAACAAAATGTGCATATCCATTCATAAAATGAAATATTATTTGGCCATAAAAAGAAATGAAGTGTATTGTTAAATGCTATAGTAGGTGAACCTTGAAAATACATGCTAAGTGAAAGAAGTCAAACTCAAAAGGCTGCATATTATATGATCCCATTTATGTGAAATGCCCATAACAGGCAAATCTATGGAGACCGAAAATAGATTCGTGGTCGCCTAGGGCTGAGGGATTGAGGAGTGCAAGTTGAAGTAGAAAATGATATTTTTACATTATTTCAAGAGTAAGTTTTATAGAGAAATTTAATTAGGGAGTAATTTTCTTTGAGACTTTATTTCCCATTTCCATGTTCTACCATTGTAAGGTTTGACATGGGGAGATGGAATACCCAGATGAGTTATTTCCTGCCTGAAACAAAGGTGCACTTTAGGATTGGTTATAAATACATTGTGGGTTTGTTGAAGGAAAGCAGTGATAATGTCTGTATCTGAAAGATGGAGCTCTCTGTTTGAACAGGTTTGCTGTGAGGCTTAAATGGATATGAAAGTACTTGAATCTGAAAAGAACTCTCTGTTGATTGTTACCAGTACCAGTGGGCCTGTCTATAATATGAAATGCAAGACTTAAAATAATACATAACCATGCCTTGGTGGGAACAAACATAAATTTTTGATCAAGTTGTATGTTTTACTGGTCTACACTCAGTTTCTTTTCTTTTTCTGATTTGTCAACCATTTAAATTAAGATATGTAGCATTTTATGTTTTGTTTGAAAATGGTGTCCCTTTAAAGGAAAACCAGGTTACAATGTAACTTTTTTCCCATTGATTTTAAAATTTTGACTGTGTAGTTTATTATGCAGTAGTATACAGAATTACTTCAGGCTGCATTTCAAAAACCACCAGTGCCAGACGCTGTTCTCAAAGATTTATTTAAGAGGCCTGGTATGGGGCATTGGCATTTGTGAGAGGTACGATCAGAGATCTTTGAGATTCTGAAATTTCATAGACCTTTCCTTGTAAGAACGGCGACTTATAATTGAATTCGTAGTGAGAGAAAACAAAGCTACAGTGGTGGTGGGATATGAGGTGCCCTGGTTTAGTGCCTCACCTTGAGTTCATACTTGCTTCATTTAATACCCAGTCCTCTACTGAAGTGAATTTCAAACCATACTGTTTTGAAAAAGGATAACAATGAAACACATACTTTTCGTAACGTGAGGCATTGATTTATTTTTGCTCCAACCTGCGATCGAAGGAGGAAGAACACACTTGATTATCTGTTTTAGCTAGTGTAATAATAGTGAAACTGAGTGTAGATAATGAAACAGAGCCACTGGATATCAATATGATTTCTAATTTTCCAGTGTGAAACACCATACAAGTAGCTTTGATTGAGGATTACTTTGAAAACATTTAAAGAACTTCTCTTACCTTTTTATCAGCACATGTGGCATTTTAATTTTGCTTTAGGATAAGTAAATATTTTGTTTGGCTGAAATGGCTTTTATTCTAAGGGGAGTATGTGTAGTCCACAAAGGAAAATTTTAGAAGTATTCCTTTATTTTCTGAGTCATCTGAGGAGGGGATTTTAATATATTAGGAGAGTTCCTGACAAGGAAACTGGTTTCCAGTCTGTAGTATATTCTATCCTAAGGTTTTAAAGTTCTACTTAAAATAATGTTACCCTAAGTAATGGAGAAATCAATTTTCAGAAATCCTCTGCTTACCATAGCAATATTGAATTTGCAAAATTGGATCTGCAGTTTTGTTGCTGTAAAGTAAAATAGTGAGTTATTATGTTATTGAGTAAATCCTTGTTAGTTTTAAGTTGAAATACTCATATAGGACTCTATTTCTTCTGTCTTACTGTTAGGTATAAAGATTTCTCTGTGTGTTACTGGAATCCCTATTGGATGCTGCCCTCTGATGTTTGTGGAATGAACTGCTTTTGGGAAGCGGCTTTTAGGTAGGCACTTACTATTTAATTGGTAGATCAGTGTAGGTAAGGTTAGATAGTAGATACATTTTTGATACTAAATAGGATGTAAAAATGTTTCTTTTCCTGTAATATAATATTATCATATAAGTAAGTGATTTATTTTCTGATTAATTTTTGTTTCTTTTTACCACTTTGTAGTTATCACTAATTTTTGTACATACTGCATATAAAATACTCTAACTAGATGTTATTGTGGTAGATAAATTATTGTTCTTAGGATTTATGATCTAATTTTAGATAACAGGTGATAAACAGGTGGTTTAAGATAGACTTACACCGACATTTACAGGCATATGTAAATATATGACATTTATTTAATTTAAAGCTGGAATACTAAAAAAAGTGTTGTAGGTAGATGGGGACAACTGGGCAAGGATTATGTTGGTTATTAACAGAGAGATTGGGGAATGGGAGGATAAAGATAAGAATTTGCTGAAGGAGCGTTACATCATTGTTTATTGACCTTTTAAGTTACTGAATATTTTAGTTTTGTCCACCTCTCTGAATAAGGAAGGCATTGGATTGATTGACCTCTCAGGTCCCTTTCCTGCTCTAACTTGCAGTGAAATGAACAAGCATTGATAAAAATGGGATATCAGCCTATTCCCCTGAGATAATGACAGGGCAGAGTGAGGCAGTAGCTGGAAACGCCCTTCCCAAAGGTAAAAAACACAGTACTTGTACTGTGTTTTGTGATTCATTTAAATTTTAATTTTACTTAATGTAATTTGTCAGGCACAGTGCTAGGTGCTGAGAACTAGACTGTGAATCTGGTTAATGTGGCTCCATCCTTCTGGATCTTACATTCTGACTGTATCCTCACACTAGTAAACCTGAGATTACAATAGAGGGTGATGTATTATAGTTATGATGATGGGAGAATAGGTGGGTCATCAGGCAGAATCATCTTAAGGCATCTCAGGGAAGGGTTTCTGGAGGGAGTGACACACCATGAACAGACTCAAGGACAGGAGTTGAAATAAGTCTAAGTGGGAAGAACTAATACATATTTTTAATTTGTATTAGTAGTATATGTTTAAAAATTCTTGTATTCCCAATACATTATGTGTTTCATGAACTACTGGGAGGGAATCGTTGAAATGAGATATTTTAATAATGTCGCGTTACTGTAGAAAAGATGGAGTGATTGAAATTCTAATATGGATCAATCAAATCAGATTATTCAGATTTTTAAAAATGTTCTTATCCCTTTGGAAGACAATCTTACTCTTCAGCTTGTTCATAATTTTGGAGACTTGGGACTCCCTATTTTTCATTCTTATAAAAGTTTCCTAATGAATAGAGTACTGACAAGCACCATTTTGCTATCCTCCAGCCTTGTCACATAAAGCTCCTCCCTCTAGAATAGAAGCTGGATAAGTGTGAAAACTTTTGTATACTCTGATTTCTACAACCCAGATCCTTTTGTAAGTTATGGATAAGTAATAATCTTCCCTCTTCTACTCCAAGAGTGACCTAGGGAAGGTGACCTCTTCTGAATCCTGGAGCCTCTGCTTTTTATGCCTTTTGTTTTGGCTTCTCCAGCTCATTATTTTCCTAATGCTTCCAAGTATTCCCTAGAAGGAATTACATGTGGATGAATACATAATGTATACTCTTATGCTTTTTACGCTCCTAAATTTGAGGTTTTAAAAGTTACACTTCTTTTTTTTTTTTTTTTTTTAATATTTGTTGGAGAGAGAGAGTGAGAGGAAGGGAGGAAGGGAGGGAGGGAGGAAGGAAAGGAGGGAGGGAGGGAGAGATGGGTTGATTTGTTATTCCTCTTATTTATGCATTTATTGATTGATTCTTATACATATCCGGACCCCAGGGATTGAGCCTGCAACCTTGGCATATCGGAACACTCTAACCAATTGAGCTACATGGCCAGGGCCAAAAGTTAGACTTTTCTGTTATACTTTCTACTTGTAATATTTAATGCATAGTATATATTTGTAACCATTTTTGGTTTCTTTCTTAGAACTTACGATTGCTCACATTTACTCAATTCCCTTCAAACATGGAGTCAAGCCAAAATGTCATACAATTGCCATATTGTTCTCACCCTCTGTTTCAATATGTATTCTTAAGTGATACCTCTTTTTTGCCTGACTCTTAAGAGCTTGTTTTGTTTGCCCCGCCTCCTTACTTCAAAGAAGTGAACCTTCTTTGAAATCCCCTTTTACTCTCCCCTTAGGTCTCACATTTTGCCTGGCACCAGTGGGCACTTAGCTGGCACCATTTTCTTCCCAGGACTGTCTCAGCTTTTTAATTTGAATTCTTTATATAATTTTATTTTGATCAAAGCTCATCCAGCGGGTTATTTTCTCCTAATTAATTTATTATACTATGAACATAAAATAACATAAAAAAGAAAAATTGGCTCAGCACCGATCAGCAGTGCTTTCACCTTTGATGAGCAAGCATGTCCTTTTAGTTATTGTTTCTTCACCTACTACTTAGTCATCTGTTTGACCAACTGCTTCCCAGCAGCCTGTGAGAATACTCCTTCCTCTTCTGTTTCTCCTGTCCTTGAAACAAAACCAAACACAAAATCTGACAGAGGCCTCTGTATTGTTCCCCTGGGCCTAATCTTACTTTTTTTGTCTGTTTGACATTGGTGACTGCTTCCTCTTTCTTATTTCAACTCTACCAGCTCGGGCTCTGGAAACCAGTGTCCCCAGCTCTTTGATCTCTCTGCCCCTGGTCTTCTTTCACTATTCCTGACTCCTAAACATTGAAATTCCTTAGGACTCTGCTCTTTTCTCTTCCAGCTGAGGATCATCCATTTAACTGGTATCTCCAGTCCAGTGCTCTTTTCTGAGCTCCAGAACTGTATTTCCTGCCGCAGATGGGTCATTTTTACCTTGCTAATTAAGATGCCTCAGATACTGTTGTTCAAACCTGAATTCATGGTCTGGCCTCCTCACACTTTCCCTCATCTATAGTTTGTATCTTGGTTTATGACTGACTTTCCACATGTCAGTCCACAGTGACTCTTATACCCGCCGCCTTTCACAGTTGCTCCTGATGGCCTCTTCCTTCCTGTTGCCTTAACTAATGTGATCTCCCTCCCCCGCCCACTGCTCCTGTCTTCTTTGTGTCCTCTGTATTATTGTACCTATTGCTGTTATAGTTCTGAGTCTACTTCTAGACTGTTGCCTTTACACATAGATACCATGTGGTGGTCAACATGTAAACCCCATGCCTAGCAAGGTGCTTGGCCACCAGTAAATAACTAATGATTTTCCCCAGCACAGATGTTTGTGTAGTAAGCTTCCTGAGCAATTTCAATTCTTTTTTCTGTTTCAGTGGTTACCATGATTTCTGATTTAATATTTTTAAATTGTCTTTTCACAATAGGCTGGAAATTGTGTAAGGTCAGGTTTCTGGCTTTCCCGCTTATTCCCAATGTCTAGCATACAAAAGGAGTTCACATATTCATTAAAAAGAATGTACTATATCATTAAATTGTGTTTTAAAAATAATGCAAATTTAAGCCTGCACCAGCATTGTGTCAATGTGCTGGTGTCACCATAACCTTATTAGCGTTACTGGGGGTTATAATTTTATCACATATTAGGGTAAAATGATGGCTTATTAATAATTTATATTTTATTATTTGTTGAACATATTTCCATACTTATGTAGCTTTTTAATCTTTTCTGTATTGATATTTTACCTATTGAGTTTTTAATAATTTTATGAACACTTAGAATTATATATTCTGCTTTTGCCATGGATTATAGAAATATTTTCAAAATTTGTTTCATTTTAAATTTTATTTATCTTTTTATTATGCCATCTCTTAATTTTCGTATATTAGAAATGCTGTTTTAATGTACTATTTTTTCTATGAATTGAGCTTTTAAAAAATTAAATCTTTTTCTTTATATTATGGTAATTGATATTTGGTTCATGGAGTCTGTGGTTATAGATGAATTTAGTGTTACCTGTTTTCTCTTGAGTGGTCACATGCTAGTTTTAAGAAACATATTTTTACAGGTTATCTTAAATTATATTTTAGCAGTTAATACTTACATTTAATGTAGAATATTTAGATTTTATTTTTATGTCTGCATAACATCCTGAAGAGTTTAAGTATTGTATTTTGTTTCAAAAGTGATTTTTATGTACAACTCGTTACATAGTTTTGCTTAGTATAATTCAGCACAACTTTTTTAATAGAGGAAAAATATGTTTAAGTTCTACGTTAAGGAAATTAGTGTTTTTGAAGATAGTTTTGCATTTTGTTGAACTGCAAGTTTTTTATGATAGGTTCATGGCAGTTATTTCTTTGTTTGGGTAATTGGTATCAGAAATTTAATTTGTTAAGTTTGACTTTATATACTTCATCATAGTGCTAATTCCTAGTCTAAATAATGTACATTATTTTCTTTTATAGAGAGAACATTAGTTTAATAAAAGCCTAGAAGAACACCGGAAGCTTTTCATGCTGTCTAAATAAAAAAATAGAAGAAAAATTACATTTGACCCTTGAACAACATGGGGTTGGACTGTGCAGATCCAATTTTACGCAGGTGTTTTTTTCCCCCCAGTAAGTATGTACTATACTGTAAATGTTTGTGATTTTTCTCTCTCCAGCTTAGTTTATTGTATGAATACAGTATGTAATACATATAACATACAAAATATGTGTTAACCAACTATTTTGTCAGTAAGGCTTCTGGTCAGCAGTAGGCTATTAGAAGTTAAGTTTTGGGGGAGTTAAAAGGTATATGCAGATTTTTGACTGCATGGGGGTTAGCACCCCTAACACCCACCCCACACTGTTCAAGGGTCAACTGTATTCTGATTCTTTTATAGTAGTAATGTTACTTAAAATAAGTCTATTCTTATGACTTAGAAATCTGGTAACAGTGTTTGTATTGGAATTTCTCATGAAAAATATTCTTTAATTACTATTTTTTCTGACTCTCCCTTCAATGTTACTTCTGTAAGTTTCA